TAATGCTCAGGTGCCTATGGGGCTGGGGGAAGCGGGGGGGGCTGGGAGGGTCAGGGGGATTGGGGGGAGCTGGGGGGCTGGGGGGAGCCCTGGGGGGCTGGGGGACCGGGGCGCACGCCAGGCCGCCTCATTCTGCCTCTCTCGTCCTCAGCCACCCTCGGTGCAGCCGCCATCTCCGGTGAGTGGGGCGGGCGGGCGCGGGAAAGACCAGAGGGCAGAGACCGTGGGCCCTGATGGGGGGGGGTCGCAGGGGGGGAGGGCAGCCAGCAGCAGGGGCTGGGGGAGGGCAGCGGAGCGAGGGTGAGCCGGGCAGGGCCGAGGCCGGGTCACAGGGACGGCGGTGGAGATGCGGGCGGCCTGACCGGCTCTGCCCCCCCCGCAGCGCCCCCGGAGTGCGGAAGGCCGCAGCGGCTGGACAGGGTGGTGGGAGGCCAGGACAGCGGCGACGCCGAGTGGCCGTGGGTCGTGAGCATCCGCAAGAACGGCACCCACCACTGCGCGGGCTCGCTGCTCACCAGGCGGTGGGTGGTCACTGCCGCCCACTGCTTCAAGGGGTACGTGGGGCGCAGCCCAGCGAGGGGCGAGGGTCCCCCGCCCTCAGCTCGCAGGCTCAGACCCTGCCGCCCCTCCGTGGAGTCCCCTGGGGCCCGAGACTTGTCCCGTGTTCCCCTCCCCTCGCGGCACCCCTCCCTTCCTTACCTCCCCCCCACACTTCTCTCCTCTTCCAGTTACCTGGAGCAGCTCTCCCTGTTCTCCGTGCTGCTGGGGGCCTGGAAGCTGGGGAGCCCCGGGCCCCGCGCGCAGCGGGCGGGCATCGCCTGGGTGCTGCCCCACCCCCGCTACTCCTGGAAGGAGGCCGCGGGCGCCGACATCGCCCTGGTGCGCCTCGATCCCCCCGTCCAGTTCTCCGAGCGGGTCCTGCCCATCTGCCTTCCAGACGCTTCCGTCCGCCTCCCGCCGCACACCCAGTGCTGGATTGCAGGCTGGGGGAGCATCCGTGATGGAGGTGCGGACCCCACCGGGAGGGCCGCCCCAGCCCCTCAGACACACACGCCACCAGCAGGGCAGAGGCCAGAGGCCAGGGTCCAAAGATGGGAGATCACAGAAGCCCAGGTGGGCAGCCAGGCACGCTCTAGGTCAGAGGTGCCCCGCTGTGTTTGGGGTAACCACAGCCGCTGGACAAGCATGGAGGGCTGGGTGGGCCAAGCTGGGTCCTGGAGGAAGGGAAATCAGCAGATTCTCAGCACCCCCTGGAGGCAGCGAGGCACTATTGCAGGCATCAGAGTACCATTTGGTTGTAGAAACACAAACTGGATCAAATGAAAGATGGAAGAGCCAGGAGCTGGTGGCTCACGCCTGTCATCCCAGCTACTCAGGAAGCTGAAATCTGAGTATTAAGGTTCAAAGCCAGCCCAGGCAGGCAAGCCCGTGAGACTCTCATCGCCAATAAACCACCAGAAAACCAGAAGTGGCGCTGTGGCTCAAGTGGTAGAGCGCTCGCCTTGAGCTGAAGAGCTGAGGGACAGCGCCCAGACCCAGAGTTCAAGCCCCACGACCGACCAAAAAAAGAGAGAGAGAGAGAGAGAGAGAGAAGCAAAAGAAAGAGACAGATTTGCAGATAAAGATGGGCAGAGCAAACCTGGGCTGGGCAAAAGAAAGGCAGAAACAGGCTACAACAGAGGAATGGTGAAGATTGGAAGACAGAGTAGGGGGAGACGGAGACTGGATATAGATAAAGGAAAGGAAAATGGGCTCTAACCTGGTCTAGAACTGCTTAGTTGTATGGGGACTCAGGTTGCAGCCCCTTTGGGGAATCTACAGACCAGTTTGTGGGTGTGGGGGCGCCCCCAGGTCCTGGTGTCATTTGTTGCATAATGGGACATTAATCAAAGACACTGCGTGATCCTTTGCTGGATAAAGTAGTGTCAGAAGCAGGAAATGTAAGGCTGACAGCTTAGCCCCTTGGGGCCTTAAGGAGATTTTTAAAAAATTATTTTATTTTGTCAGTCGTGGGGCCTGAACTCTGGGCCTGGACGCTGTCCCTCAGCTCTTCAGCTCAAGGCTAGCATTCTACCACTTGAGCCACAGCACCACTTCCAGCTTTTTCTGCTTATGTGGTGCTGAGGAATCGAACCCAGGGCCTCATGCAGGCGAGGTGAGCGCTCTACCACTGAGCCACCTTCCCAGCCCAAGAAGATGGTTTTTAAAATCAGTTCACTAATTACAGAGTCTACTGTGTCTCACGCTGTGTAGCCCACGCTGGCTTTGAACTTGCAATGCTCCTGTTTCCAACTTCCAAACGCTGGGATTACAAGTATGCGCCTCCCTTCCCAGCCCGGGGAACTTATTAACGATGGCGAATCTCAGGCTGCATCTTCAGATTCAGATTCAGCGGGTCCAGAGATGGAGCCCTGGAAAGCACCTGGGGGTGGGAGCTCCGCAGGTCTGTGCGCAGCGCTTCTGTGGGAATGGCTGGGGCTGGCCCCGCCAGGGAGCCGCGGGCCTGACCGCCTCCTCCCTCCCCAGTGCCCCTGCCCCACCCTCAGACCCTGCAGAAGCTGAGGGTGCCCATCATCGACTCGGGGATCTGCAGCCTCCTGTACTGGCGGGGAGCAGGGCAGGAAGCCATCACCGAGGACATGCTGTGTGCGGGCTACCTGGAGGGCCAGCGGGACGCCTGCCTGGTGAGTGCCCGCACCACCCCTGCCCGGCCACCCCTCCCCCTCCCCCTCCCCCACTTCAGGGGCGGGGACACCACATCACCCCTCCCCCCCCCCCCCCCCCCCCCTCAGGGGGGGGGGCACCCCACCCCCCCCCCCGTCGCCAGTGACAGACACCAGGTCCTTGTTTGCCTATCCGTTGGGCATCAAGCAACTTAGAGCTCAGGGGCGCCAACTCATTCTTTTTTTGGGGGTGTGCGTGCCAACCCTGGGGCTTGAACTCAGGCCCGGAGTGTTGTTCCCTAACATTTTTTTGCTCAAGGTTAGCAGTCCATCTCTTGAGCCTCCAGCTCCTCTGCTGGTTCATTGGCAACAAGAGTCTCACACCTTCCTGCCCAGGCTGGCTTTGAACCTCGGTTCCCAGGTCTCAGCCTCCTGAGTGGCTAGGATCGCAGGCAGGAGCGACTCTTGGCCTGGCTGCCAACATGGTTAGGAGCTGGCATGCTGTGGGGACCCCTTGCCCCTGAGGCCGGGCGTCCCGGGGCATGGCACGAGGCTCCAGCGGTCAGTCCCTGGGTTCGGCCAGCACCGGCCGGGCCCCTGGGGCAGCTACTCCTCCCACATCCCTGCGCCCGCAGGCGGGGGAGGGCCAGCTGCTGCCCGTCCTGCAGGAGTGCGGGGTCCTGAGCTGCCCCGTCCTCCCCCCAATCCTCCCCTCCCCAGTCCTCCCCTCCTCCCCAGTCCCTCCAATTCTCCCCTCCCCAGTCCTCCCCTCCTCCCCTCCCCA